CTTTGATGATTTTAAGTTTATTTGATAAATTAAATATGCAGACTTGAACTCTTTCATACACACTTTTCATTAAGATGCTGATAGCATTGTAATTTGATTATTATGAAATTTTCAGAGAACTGGATGATGAAGATGAGATGCTTTATGGAAACACAGATTCCTCGGTCTTTGATCCACCTAAGACATTTGATCCTTTGGCCCAACAGGAGAAAAATCAGAACACTTGGTGAGGGTTATTTGCTTTGCAATGTTCAATCTCATAAGCTTTATAGAAAGAAAGATGTGGCAGGAATTAGAGAGCATGATTTATTGTCAACTCCTTTTAGCAGTCATTGTCAGGTTATTATTTCTTGTTCTGTAGCAATTGATGCACGTGTATTTTGAAATACTGATACAATGAAAACATCTCCTACACTCATATAAGTGGCTCCATTTATGATGATTGTGCTATGATGCTGGCCCCATTACTTTAAGTGTTCATGTCCATTTTCATGTGTTTTTAAGGGTTATGACTCTTGTCATATATCCCTGTACCTTTAGTGCTTATATTTTGGGTTTCATGAAACAGTGCATGTCACTAATGTGTGTTAGGCCATTTATATCCTACAAGCCATTATATAAGCACAAAAAAATTGTCGAGATGAAAGGAGAAGAAAGTGACATATTTTTAAGCAGGACATAGGAAGATGTTGGACACAGATTTATACTTCTGACAAATATGGAAATAGTGCTACACTTCTGCTCAGCTTTTCTGTCATACTAGATTTAATTATTATTTTTTAAGTCTAAAATAAATTTTCAAAAATAAACTGACAGCCAGTAATAGGCAAGGATGATCTATATCTATTTGATTTGTTTGATAAGATATTGAATAAACTATTTTCATCATCATTTATAGAATCAATTCTTTTATGTATTTTGTAAATATTGCATTTGAAGCTAATTCATATCATAAATAATTTTAGGTGGAAGAAATGGCAGAAAGAAGTTCGTCCTACTTACTGGTTAGTTGGAGTGAGAGACAATGGCAACTTGGAAATATACACACTGCCAGACTTCAAGCTTTCATATGTTGTCAGAAATTTTTGGGTTGGTAAGTGTCAGTTGTGTTTTTTGTTTTATCTGGGTTTAGCATGTGTTTATTAGTGAAACACAAAAGTTCAAGAAAACTTCAGCATTTCTGCTGTGTACTTAGATATTTCAAAGTTGATGATTAACTTGATTTGGTATACATATATGGTGATTAGATAACAAATGTCACATCCTGTGCTATAAAAGATATGAATGTTAATTATCAACATGATTGTGAAGATTTGAATTATTAATAGTCTTATTCATGAAGACCTGATTCACAATAGAAATTCACCTTATGGATCCAGATATTGCATGGTCCAAAATACAGGCATTAGGCTTACATGAGCAGCCGCTTGTAGGTCATGCACAAACAAACTCTTGTGTGGATATTTTCTAGTGTCCATATTTGTCATTTAATATGCTTTATACAGATGGTAATAGACTGTTTTCCTTGGACAGACTCTGTATCATCTTTCTAGGTAGTCTATAACTCAGTGCAAGAATGAAAATAATAAATAACATTTTCTCATTTTTGTCTTTTTTTATGTGTTATAATATTCAATTTTCTATAGTACAACCTGCGCCGCTGGTCGTAGTGGCCAGGAATAGGATGCTGAGCATAGAAGTGGTATCCTTCCTAGAGCCAGCACTCTTCTAACTATGGCTCATGGACATTACATTCCACACTCGTTTTTAGATGGAAATAATACAAAAACCCCTTTCTGAATGCCAAATGAGTCTAATCACTCACCAAGAGCTTTGTGCACTAACGGCAAGTCTTTCCTGTCACCCCTGCCTTCAGCTGAAATGCTCATGATGGCAAGTTCATGTCATCTTGACCCACAGCCAGATTTTCCCATGACAGCATGTTCACGTCACCTGCCCCTCAAGCCAAATTTTTTTCATGATGTGTTGGTCATGTTATCCAGATCATAGGGGTTAATGATGTTAATGATATAATCCATATGCTCTTAAAATGCATAACTGAGTATCTCGATTGTATATGAATATAAATGCTACAACTTTCTTTATCACCAGATTGAATTAGATCAGGTGTGAAATATCCTACAAGTGGCATAGTGTCTGCCCTCTAAAAGTTCTGCATTTTAGGAATGTTGGATATCAGATTGTTGCACTAAGGTTGTTTAGACTGCATCACTAATATCTATATTATTATGAAGATATAGATGATGATACTTTTACTGCAATTTTTTCATTATTATTATTGTTATCATTATCATTATCATAGTAATTAAAAACATTATTTATTTGTTTATTACTTGATTAATACTAATTATGGTATTCACTTCAATTCATAAATGTGATCATCTATTTCACAGGTCACAGAGTTCTCACAGATTGCAGCCAGAATCCTTCAGCTTCACAGATTCAGTTTACATCAGAGATTATGCCAGTTATACATGAGGTGAGTATCAAAGAATATTCCCATACCACTCTTACTCTAATTTTGTCATGTACTCTGATCTCATCTTCTTTCTCCCCTTGTTCTTAGATAATATGTATTTGGCAATTGTATATATGTTAACAGATATTAAATGTACTTTTCTAATTCAGGTGCTGTTAGTGGGTATGGGTAACAAGAACCTGCGCCCCATTCTGCTCGCCAGGGTCGATGAGGACCTCATGATGTATGAGATTTTCCCTTTTTATGAGAATCTAGCTCCAGCCCAATTGAAAATAAGGTAATATAAAATCTGGATTTTTGTTAAGAAGTGATTTGAATGTAGGACTACCAAGTTGTATGTTTATATTTGAATTAAAGATGAGGTGGATTTATTGGCCAAGCATGTGTTCAGGAACGTGTTGGTGTTTGTAAGGATCTGAACAATAAAATTTGATTCATATTTTTTAGATATTTCCTATTGATTTTTCTTGTTTTTTTCTTTACCAGAATGAGATTGATTGAACACAACCTAATTCTAAGAGAAAGACGATCCAGTAAAATCAGAAAGAGAATGGAGGAGGAAGGTTCCTTTGATAGGAAAATTGACAGAGTTCTCAAATTCCGTCCCTTCAGTAACATCAGTGTCTACAGTGGAGTAAGTTCTTTTCTTGTATTGCTTTCAGAGATGTCTCTATTAGAGATTTTTTTTAGATCTATAATTTTGAAGTTTAGAAATATTGCTCCAAAGAAGGAAACAGATATGAGAAATGTAAAACATTTTTTCTACATTTATTAAAGGGGATGACTAGTCTCATTTTAATTTTGCCGAGATCTATTCTCTGATATAATTTGATAATGCTCACCAGCAAATGAATTTAATCTGGTAAGTAGTTTTGACAGAAATATACTGGATGCCAAATGATCCAGCAGTGGACATACAGTCAGAAAGATGGAAAGAGAGTGAATGGATAAATAAATGAATGAGTGAAAGATAGAAAGAAAGAATGAAGGGGGTAAAGTGACAGTGACAAATGGATGAGAGAGAGGGAAAGAGAATGAGAAGGAGAGAAAAATCACAAAAGAGGGAATGGATGAATGAGTAAATGAGAGAAAGAGAAGAAGTGAATGAATGAGAAAAGGAAAGATATATATGTATTTTGAGAGAGAGCAACTGAATGAAAAAGAGAGAGATAGGGAATGTTGTAAAAGATAAGCGTAATTAAATTTAATGCATCTGTAAAGGTATCAAGTCTTCATGTATGTGTCTCAAAACTTCACAGGTAATTGTCAAGACTACTTATCATATTAGTTACAATTGTTGACCAAAGTTTTCACATGATACCAAAAAATAAGTAAAAAAAAAAATAATGATAAATAGATAAATAGATAATAAGAGCCATTCTTGGCCCTCGCCAGCACTTTTAACCTAATAGATCCAGATGCTCCACTGCCATCAAGTGGCCCAAAATACAGGTATTAGGCTTGCAGGTTGAGCACACATGAACTGAAGACTCATTTGTGATGACAAGGCTCCATGCCTCCCCTTTGCAATGTTATTTTCTTTTTTTTCTGCATAAGCATTTTTAGCTTTTTTGCTATTGTCCAATGTCTATATATGTAATTTGATTTGCTTTATCCAAATGGTAATAGACAGTTTTTCTTTCACAGACTCCATATCATCTCTCTAGGTAGTCGATAAGTCAATGCAAGAATAATATCAATAAGTAGCATTGTGTGATTTGTGTTATTTTTAAAAATGTTATCTTAATATTCAATGTTTTGTTGTACAACCTGTGCCATTGGTCATGGCTGGCAGGAATAGGATCCTGAGCATGGAAATAGTGCCCTCCTGGACCCTGCGCTCTTCCATTCATGGCTCACGGACATTACATTTCACACTCTTTTATTGATGGAAATAATGCAAAGTTCCCTTCCTAAATGGCATACTAGTCTAATCCCCATCCTAGAGTTTTGTGCACTAGTGGCAAGTCATTCCCGTCACTCCTACTTTCAGTGAAAATGCTCACGATGGCAAGTTTGCATCACCCTGACCCACAGCCATATTTTCCCATGTTTTCAATTTCACATCACCTGCTCCTGAAGGCAAATTTTTTCATCATCTGCATTGGAGTGGATAGAATAACATGTTGATCGTAGTTTACAGATTTTGAAACATTAAAAGCTAAACCAGCTGCTTTGTCTGAATTTCTAATGGCCCTTATCAATTTTTCACAGATCATTAATTTTATTCTTTTTTATTCTTTTTCAGGTATTTGTCTGCGGTCCATATCCTCACTGGCTTTTCATGACAGTGAGAGGAGAGATGAGATATCATCCAATGAGTGTAGATGGCTCTGTCAAGTGCTTCGCTCCTTTCAGAAATGTGAATTGTCAAAATGGCTTCCTTTACTTCAACCGCAAGGTAAATGTGAATGTGATAGATGTAATTTTGTTGGAGCTCATAAAGAAAAAAAAATAAGACAAAACTAATATTAGGTTTGATGATAATAAAACCAACAAATTAAGAAGGAAATCTATATTACAAAAATCATATTATATCTACGAATTGAAGAGGAAAAAGATAGAAAGCCAAAAGAGGAAAAAGATGGATCAAGCAGACTATTTTGCAATTGCACAGATGGATTTTTTTGGAAAGGAAAATTATGTGTGATTTATTGCAGAATTGGGTGATTCTTTATATTCATTTACTAAAAGCTCATACACTTTTTTATTACTACTGTTTGATGGAAAAGCAAGTTGTGGATGCTGTTGTGATGCTGTCAAATTTAACTTCAAAATTTGAATTACTCAATCAGTTAATGCCATTTAGTTGTAGATTAAAATTTATTTGGTAAAAAAAAAAAAATAAAAAAATAAAAAATCCTGTTTTTTAGTGGAGTTTTGAGGTAATGGGATTTCAACTTTTGAAATACTGAAATTGAGATTATGTTTTATTGGTGAATTATGTACTATGTAGTATTATGTAGTGGTACAGTGAATATCTTCACAATGGACCATGAAGGAAAGAACTTGAAAATGCTTTGGTAAGAAATCTTGCTTTATATATATCACAAAAAAAGTATTATATCAGGAAAGCCTATAAAATAATGCTCCTTTGGAGCTACTCAAAAACATCAAATCTTAATTGTAAAGTACTTGTTCAATATAACAAGTAATATTAGTACACAAGCGCAAGCCTCTCCTGAGACGTCTTGTCCTTTTCACTTTAGACAAGTGTTCATTATGATCTTCGGCTTCACTGTCTGATAAATCAACTTGTCGTTTGTTACTCTTAACTATGTCTCCATTTGACCTGGTTTTGTTATTCATTTTTGGTTGATCATCATTGTCGTCTGAGTCACTGAAATCACTGGTTTTCCTTCGTTTCCCATCCTTTGCTTCAGAAGAGTCTGATGTTTTGTGTTTTTTGGATGTTGCCGGTATTTTATTCATGTTGGGAATGTCTGCATCGTTGTTATTACTCTGACTGTTGGAAATAGAGGGAGAGGAGGAGATTAGTGATGGTGGCGATGGAGACAGGTCCCGCTCGTAGCTTGGGGGGTGAGGCTTTTGTGCTGGAATGTCAGGAACTTTCCCTGGCATAGAGGATGATGCAACTTCACCATCTGTTCCCTCTTTGTCACTCAGACTGAATTTTGCAAAAAGACGCCTCATGGCTGATACTGTGATACGTTGTCTCTTGGCAGAGGGCAAGTTCTGTGGAAGAAACATCAAGCATGAAATTACTTGAATAGGTTTCTGAAGATACTTTGTTAGGAGTGTCAGCTGTAGAGATCACAAACCTTTATGCATATTATAGATATGTGTTTTGGAATATGAGGAAAGTGAGGAAGGTAATAGATGTATTTAAGTCACATTTGATAAATAATTTTGTTAAATACAAGAAAATAGATAAAAGCACATGTACCTCTTCATAATCTGAATCCTCTGAATCATCATGGTTCCGCAGAAGTGATGATTTACGTTTTAGCTGTGAGAGGGATGTGGCTTCTTCATTGCCTAGAAGTGAAGGTGAAAGTTTTATAAAGTTTAGGAATGAAAATACATCATTTTCCTTTAATTTTTTATTTTGATATTGATATCTTATGATTATTGGCAGTCATGGACACTCACCCACAATATTTTATTTGTTTATACCTCCAAAAGGGATGAAGCATATATTATGATTACCAAACTATTAGTTGAGAGGAATCTTTTCACGTTATACCCACCTACATCAGGAGGATCAGTATGTGTTGGTGTGGCTCCTCCTTGGGGTGAAGAGCGAGGCCAGTGGGGCAAAATGCCTCTGAAAAATTTTCTTATCCCAGACTCACTTGTAGGAGGTTCATGATCGCTGTCTCCCATGGTGATCCTTTTAAGCTGTGCAAGATTTTGCAGTAATACTCATAAGTGTGTTGTTGTTGCATATAATGGATATTTACTTCTCATGCATATTGCACATATTGATTTTACACTGAGACTTGACTTAAAAGAGTGTAAAAAATAGTTGTTAGTGGTTATTTCATTTTCATGTGTGAGATTACGTCATATTACCATAACACTATTGTCTTCATTGTTTCTTTTTTGGGGGGTTGTAGCCAAGGGAAAAAGTTGCCAGATGTTCATGGCTTTGTTGTTATGTTGATGTGATAGATTTAATGATTATTTGGATGTTAAGCACATAAGATTATCATTTGAACTGAGGGTTACAAGTTTATTCTATTATTTTTGTTTATGATAAAAATTAAATTATTCAAGCACCATTTTGATTGAAGTATAAGGAGATTTAGTTTTTTTGTTTTGATTATAGGGATATTGAATTAGACAAGGTAAGTATAGGTTAAAACACAAAGTTTGTTTCAGTATATTATTAGTGTTCTAGGTAGAACTCTTTATATATATTATATACTTGAATATGACAATTTGATGTTTAATTGATGTCTTGGCTTAAGGTATACCATGTATTTGTTAGCAATTCTTCCCTTCAGTTCTTTTAAAGAGTAGGACAATTAGTTCAT